GAAGAAGAAGAAGAAGAAGAAGAAGAAGAAGAAGAAGAAGAAGAAGAACTCACCCTGTGTGGAGGCGTGTGTATCAGGGCCCGGTAGAAGCAGGTGGTCTGTGGGTAGAGGGCCAGTACCAGCTGGTCCTTACTGAACAGGGCCTCTGGGTCGGTCTCTGGGTTTGCCTTCCACTGAGGAAGAGGGATGATCCTCCGTCTGCTCAGAGTGTGTCTCCTGATCAACAAACACACGTCAGACACACCCTCTTATTCATCCGCCTCCATGCTCAGTCCGTTAATGCTGTATTGAAGAAGACTTGAAACTAGAGATTGAGACCATAAACTCATGTTTACAATGTTTACTGAGGTAATAAATCAAGAGAGTAATTTTCTCATAGACTTCTATACAACCAGAGGAGTCGCCCCCTGCTGGTCATTAGAGAGAATGCAGCTTTACAGAGACCCAGAGGTTGTCTCCTGATCCAAACACTGATTTTCTTTCAGTGTAACTGGTTTAAAACTACACATTCACATTCGTTTGTCTCTTTCTATTGTTCCGAATATGACTCACAATAAAACAAAGGTAAAACGTTTGTGGAAATATTAAGCAACATTTCTGAGGACCGACCTGAGAGGAATAAAGAGAGAAAGTATGATGAAGTATTGAACTCACTCTTTTCCCTCTTCATCGATGTCATCCACTTCATACCTGCAGAGGACAAGAGAGACACAATGAGGCGTTCAGGTACGACGGGAAATATAACAAAGAGAAAGAGGAGCCACTCAGAGAATGTATGTTGGTGAAGACTATTCAGGAGGACAGGAGAGGTTAGGACTCATCTAAGAGACTTCATACTTCTACTACTAATACATTTCATTTTAAAGTAGTTAAAGCTTCAACGAATGACACCATTAAAGTACCGCTCACATATTAATACATCAGTACTTCCAGTGGTCCTCCAGCTGTGGGTGTTCTTACTTGTTGGTGGAATGGTTGTAGCTGACCACCTCAGCGAGGATCCACTGCTCGTCTCCGTCCACGGCCTTCACCCTCGCTGCCACTTTGTCTCCCTGTTTGGCAACGTAGTCGCTGCTGGCCGGGGTCGCTCCACACAGAGGGGGGGGACTGAGGACACACACCACGGTATCACAACAGGTGTGTGTGTGTGTGTGAGCGAGAGAGAGATACACCACTACATATGTTGATTTATTCTGATAGATATATATCTATATCTATATATAAATAATGGTCTATTATATTTGATATTTATATTGATGTATTATATTATAACCTTTCACCTCATAATATATCTCATATCCCACAAAAACAACACTTCTAATATTATTATAAGTATTATTAATCATAACAATAATATTCAATAACACTGTTAATAACGATTAATATTTAATAATAAACAATATCAATAGTTATAAAATATATTATTTTAATAGAGCAAGTTTCATTCCATTTAGTAGTTCAAAGTGTTTTATAATAAATAAATGTAATATTTAAAGAACGGCAGATAGACAATAAAATGAGACACAAAGACAGATGATAAAATATAAATAAGAGGAAAAAATGTATATATATCAAAAAATATAATATATAATAATTTACCATTTAATTCTACATTAACTTAATATGTTACACAGATTTTTGCACCATTACTCACAGCGCTGTCACTTTAGCTTATGATTTATGCTTTTATTCTATTCTTATTTTAGTTTTAAAACTTTCTCTATTTATCTGAATTTCTGTCTAACTGAATAAGAGATCAATCGAAGATCAATAAGTGATCAATAAGAGACCAATCAGAGATAAATCAAAGATCAATAAGTGATCAATAAGAGACCAATAAAAGACCAATCAGAGATCAATAAGTGATAAATCAAAGATCAATAAGTGATCAATAAGAGACCAATAAGAGACCAATCAGAGATCAATAAGTGATCAATCAGAGATAAATCAAAGATCAATAAGTGATCAATCAGAGACCAATCAGAGATCAATCAGAGATCAATCAAAGATCAATAAGTGATCAATAAGTGATCAATACGAGACCAATACGAGACCAATAAAAGACCAATAAAAGACCAATCAGAGATCAATAAGTGATCAATAAGAGACCAATCAGAGACCAATAAGAGATCAATCAAAGATCAATCAAAGATCAATAAGTGACCAATCAGAGACCAATCAGAGATCAATCAGAGATCAATCAGAGATCAATCAGTGAGCAATCAGAGATCAATAAGAGATCAATAAGAGATCAATCAGTGATCAATAAGAGATCAATCAGTGATCAATCAGTGAGCAATCAGAGATCAATCAGTGATCAATCAGAGATCAATCAGAGATCAATCAGAGATCAATCAGTGATCAATCAGAGATCAATCAGAGATCAATCAGAGATCAATCAGTGAGCAATCAGAGATCAATAAGAGATCAATCAGAGATCAATCAGTGATCAATCAGTGAGCAATCAGAGATCAATCAGTGATCAATCAGTGATCAATCAGTGATCAATAAGAGATCATCTAATCTAATGTAAACATCTGATCCTGGTTTTGAGGAACCTGGATTGAGGGATTATTTATCATCAAAGACATTAATAATAAATATGTAATCATAATAATAATAATAATAATAATAATAATAATAATAATAGTGTGGAGACGCTACCTCTCCCCCGGCTTGCCGATCCACAGAGGAAGCGTCATGGCCGACTGCTGGAGGAGCGTCATCAGGACGCCGCGACGCATCGTCTTCCTGGGAGGGTCGCTGTCGCTGTAGACCCCCGCCATCTTAGCAGCTGCAAAGAGACAGACACACATTAGAGAGCAACACACACACACACACACATTAGAGAGCAACACACACACACACACACACACACATTAGAGAGCAACACACACACAC